AACCCCTAAACCCATGAGCCTCCAAGTACCGGTCCCCAAACCTCTGAAGCCCTCGAGCCCTCGAACCCTACCATGACCCTACCATGACCCCCGGAACGAACCCTTCCGGCAAGCCTTGTGGATAGTTACCCTGCTTGTTATGGTGTATTATTGCATACAACGTATTCTAGAATAACAAATATTCCATTAACAAGACTTTTTATACTACATGATATTAAATAAACGAATTTTGTATTCTTGTATAGTTTCGGGTATTCTAGTATGATATAGTGTATCGTATGATCGTTTATTGACCTATAGCTACCGCTACAGGAACCTGATGTAGGGCCTTAATAATTAGAATAGGGTTTTGGGGTCCATTGTACTATATTTCTAATCAGGAACCCCCAAAATAGTATACATAACCCCCAAAATAGTATAGGTAATGATTAAGGCCCCTATTATGTCTAGGGCTGGAAACCCCATGAATTCTCTCTGGCGCGCGAGCCTGGAGGGTCGGAATTGCTGGCGGACCACCGTCCTTATGGTCACACTGTACTTTAGAGTTTACCTGGGGATCCAAAAACATACCGTTTTAAGGGTTCCACCCTCTAATTAAGGGGTCATAACCTACTATTTTGTAGGGTTTGGGGGAAAAGGGCACAGGTAATGTTCATGGGTAGTGATAAGTAGTGTCATAGGTAGGATAGCTATACTGTTGTCTTCAGACTTAAACCCGGGCTATAGTTTGAACACCAGAAGTCTCAGCTGTTTCGGTTGAAGACTTCTTTCTGATACCTTAAACCACCGCGACCCAATATACGGGTCTGAATAATCTTTTATAGTCTAATCATGTGGGTAGTTCTCTAAATTCGGGTCTTTTTTGGGTCCTTTGTTATAAAGGTGCCGTACTATTGTGGGGGACCTGAAAAGGGACCTAATTTAGAGACCTAATCATAGAAATCATAAAACCCTAAACCCTAAACCCAAACCCTAAACCCTCAACCCTAACCCTAAACCCTGTTCGCTCCGTGTCTTGGACAAGCGTCTCCTTTCGCGGCGGGTGCTCCTCGAGCTTTTCCGCGGCCATCTCTGCTGCCATTGCCGATGATAGAAGAAACACTGATGCGATAAAAACTACCCTATGAAGAGTCTGTGGGGCTTTCGGGTCTAAGGGTTTGTAAGGCCAGAAGCTACCCATGAAGAGTTTAGGATGTTTCGGGGTTTAGGGTTTTGGGTAAAGGGTTCACCCTTCCAACCGAGGAAACCCTGTAGAAGCTCTGTACCAAACCTTATGAAAAATACTACAACACGCATAGTTCGTGTCGGGTTGTGGATGATGGGCTTTGGGACATTTCCAAGTCCCTGCACAAGCTGTATGTTCTCGGAGCCAAGATGATGCGATGTGATTGGTGGAAGGAGAAACCCGGCTACAGCCATCATGCTCTGCAACTGGTTGTGCAGGGTGCTGGGAAAGTGCTGGTGGCGGTGGTGGCGGTGCTGGCGGCGGAAGCGGCGGTGGTGGTGACGGTGGTCGTGATGGTGGTCGTGGTGGTTGTGATGGGGTGTTCTCGTTTTTTGGGTTGGTGAACGAGAACCACGTATTCCAGCTGTACTTAATTCTAGCTGAAAGCCTGAAAGTGTTAGAGCTTCACGTAAGCGCTTGAAAACAAGCGTTCAACCCCGGCCATGCCTGTGATCTTCTTGAGTCCATACGCCATCGTCGGGACGAACAGGCTAACACCACGGAGGGTATGTCGGATAAGATGCTTTGCAACTTGCAAGCTGTGCTTCCTGACCATGCTGACTCCTGCCAAAGACTGTAACAACACTACGCTATAAGTAAAATCCTAAATTTCGAACGCTTACACGCCTTGCCGACACATCAATCCTCAACTTTCGATTCCTGGGGCTCTATTGCATCAGATCTTCGCAGTGGAAAGACTTGTTTGAAGGTTCATGGGTAGTCACGCGATCGCACCCGGACTGCGTGAATTGACCTAAACCCTAAACCCTAAACCCTAAACCCTAAACTGGTTTTATAACAGCAGCTGCATTACTCGTCACTGTACTCCTCAAGCAATCTCCATGATCCTGCGACTATTGGGTTTAGGGTTTAGGGTTTAGGGTATTGTCGGATCTGAGTCAGCTCCCTTTTGATTTCTTGAGCTGAGATGCCCGCAGTCCACCGGACAGCAGTTTGCGACTTCAGGAGACGTAGCTGCTTAGGGGTTTCAAACTCGAGGGTTTGCATGGAAAGGCCTGGGGGCTATACTCCAAGTGCCATAAAGCCCGGAACGCTTAGACTTTCGCCAACGCCGCAGAGCAAATAGCACTTTTACTGCACATGCATCGTTCTGCTAGCCTCTCAAACGGATATCTTTCTGATTGCCGGCCCGAAAATTACCCCGCACTTAAACACCAGACCATGAAGACCAGACGGAACACGAAACCACGAAACTCTAACTAAAGCCCAACACCAAGCCCTAACAAGGTTTAGGGTTCCTCCCCCACTAGCCATCGAACGAACCCCTCCGAGCACAACATCATAAACTTAACGGACTCGTGTTGAGTTCGTATTATAAGCTTTGCTATCGCAATAAGTCCTTATTCAATTCAGGATTTAGATGGTTGAGGTAACACAAGAATCTTCTTCAATATCTGTGTAGCTCTACCTGATCCTGCAGGAACCCAGTGTTGCTGGCAGCCTCTCTACGTTCTAGTATAGTGCTTGGATTGAGCATGTTTATGTTTGAATCGGGGAAATGCTGCAATGTTCATGCAAAGTTCCTGGTCATCGAGCGGGTTTACAGTTGGAGAACGTCTAAGGGAGTTTCGGATGTTCCAGCAATGATGAAACCGAAGGTACCGTCTCTCAACTCTTTGCCGCATGTTAAGAAGCTGTGACTAAACGACGAGCCCTAAACCTGCAAACCAATAAAGTGCTCAATACGCACCTCTTCAAAACCCCTCAAGGCATGAGGCCTGAACCTGCTAAATCCCTTTCCCTCAGAGAGAGGGAATCCCATAAGGTATTGGCAGTTTGGCAGTTTAAGGTCAGAGTGTATACGATTGAGGTGCATGGACTCTTCGGGCTACCAACAGTCTCAGACATACTTCCCTTCTTGGGCTAATCATTTCTGAGCCCAGAACTCGATCTACATTCTCAAACCCGACTTACAACCTCACCATCTTGCATCGGCCTAAACCCTCAATCCCACGCCGCTTACACCCGACATCCCCAACTACTTGAACCACCTCAGCACTTGTCACCCGCTCGGGCCGCGACAATAACAACATAATAATCACCCTGAACTGCAGTTCACACTTGCAAGAGCTAGTAATGCAATATGTCTGAGTATTTATCGTTTGTATTCCTGAGGGTTCACTAGAACAGATATACGGTCTACAATACCCAGACCACTATTCTTGATCAAGGCCTCTATCTAGTATATTTCGTTTAGGGTTGAGGTTTTTCGGTAAGGGTTCATTGAGGGTTTAGGTTTTTGGGTAGGGCTTTCTGACTCAGGTTTCAGAGTCTCAGACTCTTCCACTATATAGAGCAAGCGTATCACACGGTTTAGGGTTTAGGGTTTAGGGATTAGGGTTTAGGGTTTAGGGTAGTATCATTCATCAACCTATAGATACACCGTTCGCCTCTGTCTTTTCGATGCCGATCATAGCTCTGTGGCTCTTCGCCGCGACTGGACGAGATTCCATGCTCTGGGACGCCACGATACCGTTGCATGCTGAAGGTGGCCGGTCGGGGCGATACTGCGGTTTAGGGTTTAGGGCCTGAAAGCGTGGCCAGAATGACGAGAGATCTGATCTACGCTTCTGCTGCTGCTTCTGGAAGAGAAACCCTGCAAGCCTCAAGTTCCAAACCTGCAGCAATTTAANNCCCCCCCCCCCCCCCCCCCGCAATCCGAAAACCACAGTAATCCTAAACCTCCAACACCCTAAAACCCAAAAATCCTCAAACCCCATCAATCCTAAGGCCCTAAACTCTAAGAACCCTAGAAGCCCTAAAACTCTACGTACTCCCTCCAAACCCCTAACCCTAAGGCTCCATGTAC